TGGTCCATCGGGACCTCGTGTTCATGCGATGACCCATCTTTCCTTTGTTTGTCTAGTTCAGTTTTATTTTCCTTTTTGTATTCTCCTTTGTTCATTCTCACCGGCGAGTGAAATGAACTTAGTTTGAATCATTTCTTTGGCAACACCTTCAACGGACGATTTGAACATCCCGCCACACGGGCGCGCCGGAAAGGACCTCTGACCGGGTTCGGAACACACGTACACGAGAGAACATGATCAGCAAGTATTCGTTTCCTACCGAGATCTAAATACTGCTAAGATTGCCTGCCCTAATTAGGGTACGATTTGACTAGTTGTCTCTCTTAACGGTTCTGTGTCTGATGAATTTTGCCAAACTCACCAGCTCTCTCTCTCTCTCTTTCTATATGCATTCTCCTTCCTCGATGTTTTATTGTGTTTGTAAATACATTTATTCCTTGTAACGTTTATTAACCGTATACGTAATCACCTTTATTAAATACATATATTCATTGATTGACTCTGCCTGTGCTCATACTTCAAATCACTTAAATGTTTCGATCAGCTACAAGCTTTGAAATGGTATAATACTTTAAATAGTATTGTGACAAAACAGGAAAGCTATCTTTTACGGCCGTAAAGATCGTCTCTTCCTGCGAGTCTCTTAAAGGTAATTTCTCTGTGGAAATTGATGAAGATCCATGACCAGTTTGCTGGACAAACAGATTATTCGATAATAATTAATTCCATTGAGGAGTATCCTGAGAATCTATATATTCCAGACGATTTGTATATGAATATTGAATTATAATTCGTTATGATTTGATTATTGATAAATACAATTGATCTATCTTGCCGATCTGTATGAATAATTGAACTTGGAACATTAAAAGGAGCCACTGCTAAGATTCATGTACCAAGGGATGCAAAGCCTAATTTTTTTTAAATCAAGGTCACTGCCTTTTGCTATGAGAGAGAAAGTTGAAGCCGAACTTGATCGCCTGATTAAAGACCATGTTATAGAGCCTGTGAAATTCTCAGAGTGGGCAGCACCTGTTGTGCCTGTTTTAAAACCAGATGGGTCAGTAAGGCTTTGTGGAGACTACAGAGTAACCATTAACAGAGAGTCATCACTGGAGCAGTATCCTATTCCTCGAATGGAGGACATGTTTGCAGTTTTAGCTGGAGGTAAAAAGTACAGCAAGTTAGATATGAGTCATGCAGATCAACAGATTGTGTTAGATGAGACGTCCAGGCCGTATGTGACTGTGAATACCCACAAAGGATTGTTCACGTACACCAGATTACCTTTTGGCGTTAGTTCCAGTCCAGCAATCTTCCAGAGGACCATGGAAGGGGTCCTGAAAGATATTCCAAAGGTCACTGTATATCTGGACGACATCTTGCTGACAGGACGAGATGATCAGGAGCATTTGAGGACACTAGATCAAGTGTTGCAGCGTTTGGAGGAGTATGGTTTGAGGTTGAAAAGGGGAAAGTGTAAATTCTTGGAAAAGGAAGTCATTTTCCTGGGACACAAAGTGGATGCCACTGGTATTCATCCAGTTCCTGAAAAAGTCCAAGCAGTTCAAGATGCACCAAGACCGACGTCAGTAACAGAGCTGAAAGCATATTTGGGACTGTTGAATTTCTATAACAGGTTTCTGCCAAACCTCTCAACACTGCTTGCTCCATTGCACAGGCTTTTAAAGAAGGATGTCCCCTGGTGTTGGAAAGAGGAAGAAGAGGAAGTTTTTAAAAAATCCAAAGATTTACTGCAGTCTAACCGTGTGTTAATCCACTATGATGAGAAAAAACAATTAGTGCTTTCTTGTGATGCCTCAGCGTACGGTGTGGGAGCCGTGTTGGCACATCGTATGGCAGATGGAACGGAGAGACCCATTGGGTTTGTATCACGAACACTTACAGTAGCAGAAAAAAACTACTCACAGCTGGAGAAGGAGGGTTTAGCTGTAGTGTTCGGGGTAAAGAAATTCCATAAATATCTGTATGGCCGTAAATTTGTGATCTGTACAGACCATAAACCTTTATTAAGTTTACTGAATGAACTGAAAGCTGTGCCGCAGATGGTCTCTCAAAGAATTATGAGATGGGCAGTGATGTTGGGGGCATATGAGTATGTCATTTCTTATAGAGCGGGCAAGGACAATGGAAATGCAGATGCCCTCAGTCGTCTTCCTGTTCTAGAGATTCCAGAGAAAGAATCGAAGGAGGATTATGTCTTGATGTTGGACAGCGTTGTAAGTCCTTTGACGACATCAGAGCAAATCAAGCACTGGACAACTCGAGATCCTGTCCTCTCTAGAGTGCGTGAGTATGTGCTTAAAGGTTGGCCTGATCACAGTAATACAAATGAATTTGCACCTTATAAACAGAGACAACAAGAGCTCAGTGTTCAAGACGGGTGTGTGCTGTGGGGAGCCCGCATCATCATTCCAGAGCAAGGACGTTCGGGGTTGCTGGAACAGCTACACCAGTCTCACCCAGGTATGTCAAGGATGAAAGGCCTGGCTAGGAGTTACCTGTGGTGGCCAAATTTAGATGTTGACATTGAGGCCCGAGTAAAAGATTGTACTGTGTGTCAAGAACACCGAAAAGCCCCTGTGGGTGCACCACTTCATCCGTGGGAGTGGCCACGACAGCCATGGAGAAGAGTTCATATGGACTATGCTGGTCCATTCCTGGGAAAGATGTTTTTAATCTTAGTTGATGCCCATTCTAAGTGGATTGAGGCATATCCCGTAAATTCAGCAACAACAGCGAATACTCTTGAGTGCCTCAGAAAGAGTTTCAGTACCCATGGCATTCCTGAAATGATGGTGTCGGATAACGCTCAGTGTTTTGTAAGTGAAGTGAGCAAAGAATTTATGTCTAGAAATGGCATAACGCATGTTACTTCTGCCCCGTATCATCCATCATCTAATGGTCTTGCTGAGCAGGCAGTCCACACTTTTAAGGACCTTATGATAAAAAGTTCTGGGAACACTATGGAGACCAAGTTGCATAGAGCATTGTTTAGCTATCGTATTACACCCCAGTCTACAACGGGATTGTCACCTGCAGAAATGATGATGGGGAGGAAATTGCGATGCACCCTAGACAGAATGCACCCTGACTTCACCAGCAAAATTGAATTGAAACAACAAGTTCAAAAAGAGCAACATGACCAACATGCAAAATCTCGCTATTTTGAAGTAGGAGATGCGGTGTACACTAGGAACTTTGGGTATGGACCAAAATGGGTGCAGGGAGTAATTCAGGAAATCACAGGACCTGTATCCTATAAAGTGGCAATAGGAAGTGCCCAAATAGTGCGACGTCATGTGGATCAATTATTCAGGCGACAACAAAAAGAGATCCTGACTAAAGACTTTCAAGCGGCCTTGGGGGAACCTTATGATTCTGATGTGGTGTCAATTGATGCTGATATTAAAATGCCTGAATCACTCAGTACGTCGACAACACTTGAATCTTCAGATAACTGGGAGCCTGAGAGTTTGAAATCTGGATGTCAAAGAAATCAATTGCCAGATTCACCCAGTGCTCAAAGAATGCCTGAATTGACTCAAAGTGCATCCCTTGAGAGTGCATCCTCTGGATGTCTACGACGTTCAGTAAGAGAGAGGAAACCACCAGCATATTTTAAAGACTTTGTGACATAAGAAATAGTTCTTCATCAAGAAGAACCTATTGAATTATGAATGATATGAATTGTGTGATGTAAAAAAAAAAAAAAAAAAAAAATCACTGTAAAAATGTCCTAGAATATGTGTTTTGGGGAAGGATTGCCTCCTAGTTAAGTGGAGGGGAAATGTTGTATGTTAAGGGTGGTATTGGGTTTGTCCAGTAGGGGGTGATGGCGCATTGTGTTTGTGGGCTGTTGCACTGTTAAAAGCAGAGAAGAACGCGCAGTGTGGGGAACTTGTGTGTGTATTGCTAGCCACAGAGATGAGTCCTAATAAAACGAGACCATCCTGAAGTTACCGTTGTCTCTGAGTTTTTCCTCGGTATCTACGATACAACACCCTCTATAGTGTATACCAGAGTGTATACCTTTAACTGATTTCATTCATTGTGTTTATCAGAATGAGATTTTATTTTTATTGGGAGAAATCTAAATCAGACAACTTGCATTGAGCTTCTCAGACAGAACTGGAGTTGCTAAGGTAAATCTTCATCTTTTAATGACACTCACATGTTTTATTAATTAAACTTGTATAACTTTAAAATCAATTAAAAATTTTGAGTCCAGATCGTGAATACAATTACAATTCAATTCAATTACAAGTTTAAAACTTTAACCCAAATCAAATATATTTGGGGAAATAAATAGTGTTTATATAATCTTAAACAAGATAATAGATTTTATATTGGTTGTTTTGTAATTGTATCTAATGAAGGTTATATAGTTTATAGATTGGTTTCCGCCAGTAGAGGCGCTCGAGCAACCGAAGCAATGACACACATCCGAGTCTAGGAGAAGAAGAGAAGTGAGCGAGGGAAGGGAACATAAACATGAGAACTGGAACACAGCCGTTCATTCTGCTCTAAATCTGCTGTTTTACAGACTGTGAGTACATATATTTTATCATTTATTAGGAGAAATCTAAATCCGAACGGCTGAACGAGTCAGTTCATTTAGTGAATCGCTCAGATTAATCGACTGATGTTGTTCATTACGCTCGTGAAACAAACTTGTTACTGACTGTTTTTTCACATTACAATTTTTGAAGATTGAGTTGGTTTTCATTTTATTTAATGAAACCTGGTAAACAGTTTTAATGCATGTAAATCTTATCTAATGTAAGAGCAACATAAAAATCAGCTAGAGGAGTTGAATTGTTTATAGTTGGTAGTTTGATCAATCTCGAGTGATTGTAAGTGTGATGATCATCTGCTAAATGAGCAACAACGACCACAATTCACTCCTTCAGTCAGTGAAGCTCCCACAGCCGTTCATGAGAGTTTAAATGCTGGGGAATATTCCCATCTTCCCACAGGAGAAGAAGCAAGCAGGAGGAATTACTCCAGGAGAAACTACGGACATACTATTGTAAAGATGGAGATTAAGGAAGAACCCTGCAGAATAAAAGATGAAGATACAGAGCAACAAATAGGTTGGTGTTTTCCTTCATTCTCGTTGACTTATGTGGAACATAAAAGACCAATTCACACAGACAGACGCAGATCCACGCAGAGAGTCACCAGATTACGGATGTCACCATACCAAAAACTAGTAGTCTGTAGTAATACTGATACCACCATGGTGAAAAAAGGACAACATACTTACAACACTTAAATATTAACTTCTTCATATGTTTTTATATGTATTTGTATACATATTTTGAAAAGAAATTACAATAAACTCACCAAAATGTTTGCTCACTCACTCAGTGTATTGTTTTTTTTATTAGGTAATTTGTTGCAATAATCAGTAATAAAACAACGATTAAACACATTGGAAGCAGTAGCATAAATAAAAACAATAGAATAAAGATAATTAAACTATGCTGTATATTTTCTTCAGGTATATAGGTCTCACAGTAGTATTCAAGTAAAAATACCACATAAATTGAATAATCAAATATTAAATTACTCTGCATAATCATAACTGTATCATTTAAATATGAATCCTTATTTAAGCTATTAATCCTTATTTAAGATATTCTTTGGTTGTTTGATTATCATTATTAACACAGACAGCCAATAGACAGCAGTTTTTAAAGGCTGCTGTCACTTAAGACCTAATGAATGGGGACATGCTTTTACACATGCTTTTCACATTCACATAATTGACACAAATATTCACCAAGACGGGCATTTTGACATAACTATGTGTGTATTTGAACGTTTATGTGTAATAAGCCACGAAAATCTGACACTCGTGAGAGACGGCTATGTGTGTGGGCGTTGGTTGAGCACTGACTGAAGAGGGCGCGCGAGTACTTTAAGTTTATAGTTTAAAATCGCTTGAATTTATAAATTGGCCTGATATAAAGCACTAAAGTCTTGTATTGTACCGTGCAGCTTTCTTGCAGAGCAAAATCAATGTGAATATATGGATGTAGGGCTGGGACAACGCGTCGACGTCATCGATGAAGTCGACGCAAAATATGCGTGTCGATTCGTCAGACCCAAAACAAAGATGGTAGAGAGTAGTAGCTGACTGGATTGTTGACTATACTGCGCGCATAACACACATAGCGCGCGTACGGCAGAGAGGGAGAGAGCGAGAGACACACGCAAGGTCTCTCGCTCTCTGCCGTGCACGCTATGTATGTTATGCGCGCAGTATGTTCTGTCTCGCATGCGCGCTCTAGATTCTGGGAGATTTGAACTAATTTGCGGGCATCAGGGAGACGCTATCAATATGCGGGGGACTCCCGGGAGGTTTGGGATGTCTGAGTGCGGGTTTTTTCCCCCCTGGCGTGCGTGTTAATCAATGAGTGCATTCACACCGGGAGCGGGAGCAGGAGCAGCGCGTGAGCAACAGTGAAGCGCGGGTTTCGGCGGAGTCTTAATTTGCTGCTGCCCACGCTCAATTAAAGTGAAAGCACACTTTTGATGGACAAAATAAATATGATTTCATCCAAAAAGTGCAGAAAATGCACATAATTTTCATGTCTGGTGTGTTTTAACAAGAACTGGAGTGGGTATGTATGTCAGAAAAGAAAATGAAGACTCAAAAATATTTATAGAATTTTTTTTATTGAATGCTAGACATCAAGTTATTATTTTCATCTTAAAGAAGAATTACAAGATGCACTTTTTTCAGTAAGCTAGGCCTATGTGTTTTCAAGGCTTTATTGAATGCTACCTCTGACTAAGAATGCATTACTTTGCACTTGTATAGTCTTTTATTTTGAAATTTTAAGAGCAATAAACATATATTGCATTGTTAAGGAATTCATGTTTTTTCATTCAGATATGTAAATCAACATGTATAAATTGCTATTAGTCAATTAATGGGGAGATAATCGATAACCGAATCGAAATCGAATCGGACTGGAAAAATGAATCGTTAGATTAATCGATGCATCGAAAAAATAATCGCTAGATTAATCGTTTAAAAAATAATCGTTTATCCCAGCCCTATATGGATGTGAAGCCATTTGCGCATTTTGAGAGGGAAAAAGAGAAGACTTGACGAGCCGCTTGCGCTGGTTTCTGTGACTAAAACTGCGATCAAACCTTCTGTAATAATTCCAAACATGAATCTCGACTATATTAATAAATACACTACACAGTTCTATGTGATAATAAAAAATTTTTTTTAGAAAACCTGTAGCATTTTCGAATTACCGCGCTTTCCACCCTCATATCCCCCTGAGACGAGAGATTTATGAATTCAAAAATAATTTCACATTTCTTCTACATAAATGACCCATTTTAAATACACATTCATCTTTCCAGAGGTGAAGTATCACTTTAAGGAAGAACCCTGCAGAATAAAAGATGAAGATACAGAGGAACAAATAGGTTGGTGTTTTCCTTCATTCTCTTTAATGACTGATGAGGAACATTAAGATGAAAACTCACATATCCTCTTGAGATCCAGGCTTCGACTTTTGAGTCTGGTTTCCTGTAAAGAGCACATTCAGGGCTTTTCAGAGATACCACATGTTTAGGTTTCACCATTACAACTCCTTCTCTTTGGCTTTAAAATCGATCGACTGAATGATCAAATCTATAAACCCCAGTCAGCTGAAGATTGTGCGTACATGCGTCTCCTCCCAGAAATAACCATATATGAATCTTACAACGCCGCGTTTTACAATGCGTAGCATCATCTGCATTTCATTTCCAAGCATATTCTCATCCATGTGATAACATGTTTAATGATACAAGACAGTACAATATGAGATACGGACTATGTGCCGTCACATTACATAACTAAAATTCTTTCAGTATCCTTGTCTTGTTTTGCAATAAATAAATAAAAATTGTATAAAATACATTTCAGAGAAAGTTTTCAGAGAAGAGTTATTTTTTATTAATTAAAAGGGAATTAAAGGGATACTCCACCGTTTTTTCATATTAAACTGTTATTCCCTTAACTAAGAGGAGTTGATGCATACCTCTCTCGTCTCAGTGCGTACACTCAATCGCTCTGGCGCGCGAGACACTTTGATAGCACTTAGCTTAGCCCAGTTCTTCATTAGGATCCAAGCAGAGAAGCGACCAAACACCTCCACGTTTCCCTATTTAAATACAGTTACACAAGTAGTGTAACTCGACCAAGAATGGTGACACAAAATAAAACGTTGCGCTTTTCTAAGAGTGTAAAGTGGATAACTATAATGTATGGCGGAATACCATAGCAAGTGCTTGGGAGCACTTCGACTCGGCGCATATATATCTATGAACTCGGCGCAGTAATATCATCATATCATCACTCCGGAGAGGGAGAGGGAGAGGACTTTTCAGGAATGATGATATGATGATATTACTGCGACGAGTCGAAGTGCTCCCAAGCACTTGCTATGGTATTCCGCCATACATTATAGTTATCCACTTTACACTCTTAGAAAAGCCCAATGTTTTATTTTGTGTCACCATTCTTGGTCGAGTTCACTACTCGTGTAACTGTATTTAAATAGGGAAAACGTGGAGGTGTTTGGTCGCTTCTCTGCTTGGATCCTAATGAATGAACTGGGCTAAGCTAAGTGCTAACAAAGTGTCTCGCGCGCCAGAGCGATTGAGTGTACGCACTGAGACGAGAGAGGTATGTATCAACTTAGTTAAGGGAATACATATTTTTATAAATATTAAGTGTGTCCGTACGGTGTGCACATTTACGCCTAGTTTATTTTTTATAAATCACCATATGTGCGTGGAAAATTGCAGCGTTTATACATCTGGCCCCGGGACTTAGATGAAATATGAGATATTCTCATGAAAATGTTGGCAAGTTATTACTCATTATAACATTATAACTCATTCATTTAAAAATGTATTGGTAAATGAAAAAAGAATGCCTATACATGTCTAATGTCATTTTATTTTCTTAATAACTTAGTCCTGGTGTACAGACAAAATATGAATAAACTATCTTTAAAAAAAAATCTCCATTTGTTTCTTATGCTCCAAATAATCTACTGACAAAATAAACAACTAAAAAAACTAAAAAGTTCTGGTTCTCCGGAGGATATAACAATACATTTAAAACTAGATACTAGTAGACTTGGTAGTAAACTAGATTTGTGCTAAATTAAGAATGAACGTTATCTCTTCTTCTCATTTGTCCTTTTTTTAATTGAATTATGGGAATTTAATGTTGTTTTTAGACCCGATGGAAGTGAATGAAGACAAACAGCAACAATTTCAAAAACCTCCTAATTTCACAAATGAAGATGGAAATGCAGTTGTTTCACAGACTGAAGAGAATTTCATACAGAAACAAGCTGGAAAATCTGGAGTCAAAGGATTTTTCACCTGCTCTGAGTGTGGAATGTTTTACGTGCACAAATCAGACCTTAATAAACACATGAAATATCACACTGGAGAAAATCTGTTCACATGCACTCAGTGTGGAAAGAGTTTCACACGTAAATCAACCCTTAACAGACACATGAGAGAACACACTGGAGAAAGGCCTTATACATGCTCTCAGTGTGGAAAGAGTTTCGTTCATAAAGGACACCTTAAGATACACATGAGAGTTCACACTGGAGAAAAACCGTTCACATGCTCTCAGTGTGGAAAGAGTTTCAGTCGCAAAGTTCACCTAAATGGTCACATGTGGATTCACACTGGAGAAAGTCCTTATACATGCTCTCAGTGTGGAAAGAGTTTCAGTCAAAAAAGAAACCTAGAAGATCACATGTGGATTCACACTGGAGAAAGGCCTTATACATGCTCTCAGTGTGGAAAGAGTTTCAGTCAAAAAAGAAACCTAGAAGATCACATGAGGATTCACACTGGAGAAAAACCGTTCTCATGCACTCAGTGTGGAATGAGTTCCGCTTACAAAAACATTCTCAAAGAGCATCTGCTCTCTCACTCTGGAGGGAAGCCATTCAGCTGTGATCAGTGTGAGAAAACATTTGTTTATTTATCTAGCTTAAAAAAACACCTTAAAGTTCACACTGGTGTGAAGCCTCACGTTTGTTCTGTATGTGAAAAGAGTTTTTCGCGACTGGCGACTTTAAGAGTGCATGAGAGTATTCATACTGGTGTAAGACCTCATTTGTGCTCTGACTGTGGGAAGGCCTTTATTACATCAGGTGCATTAAAACAACACCAAAGAATTCACACTGGAGAGAAACCGCAGTGCTCTTCATGTGGGAAGAGTTTCACCCAATTATCTACACTACAGAAACATAAGAAAAAGCATTGCCCGAAGGTGTCTAAGTGAGCAAAGTTCAGATTCATGACTTGTAAATAATTTGATATTCAGATTAAGCAAAAGGTGGAATTACGTTTTAATAAGAGTTATTTAAAATTAGTATTGTTTGATTTTTTGACAAGGGAAACCTTTAAGGAAGGTCAAAATGGTTGTGTATTGCATTCTAAAGGCCGGTTCACACCAAGGACGATAACTATAATGATAAAGATATAGTTCTAAAAATCTTTCTCATGTGATCGCAACAATGTGAAAATACTCCTGTGGGTGTCATCGCTTAAGCACTGCATGGTCATCTCATATCTCAGACATAGCACCAACAGATCCAGATCCAGGGACATACTACACCTGCAGCAACTACAACAGAGCCTGCCGCTCCAAAATCTGCAAACCAACCACAGAGACTCCTTGACGCATATTCCAGACGGATGCAAACAATGGTCATCTCAGACAGATGGAACAAAAATAATAATTCAGAAAACTGTGCCATAAATTGCCATAAAACGCTATGATTTATGAAAGAATGTGTTTTGTTTCTTTGTGTAGTTTAATAATTTTCATTGTACATATAGGAGGCATTTGTGAAACAATAGCAACAATCGTCTATCAAATATCATTCATATTACAAACAACTTGTTTTTAGTCTCGCTGTTTAGAGGTGATGCATTGATGATTTCCATTACACGAGAATAGATGTTAAACCTCATGCTGATTTGTACTCGGCTTTGGCCAAGATAAGCACAAACTAAGACGGAGCTTTACAGTAACCTATGGTTCTCTCTCTCCATCTCTCCATCCATTTACGCTTCTTTCCATATGGTGATGTGAATCTCCTTCTGTCCGGCGTTAACGGCTGCAGTGTACTTGGCGCGTCAGCACACACAACGGCTGCAACTACAGTGTGGTCTCCCCAGTGGACCAGCACCACAACCGTCTGGTTTGGGCCGAGTAGGGGACATCTCTAGGGTCTTCAAGTGGGCACCTTCCGTCCTCAGTGTTTCGTCGACTAGCCCACGACACCTCAAGAGGGCTCGACAGTGACTCTGGCATCTCAGAGTCACCCCCCTCCGTCCCCCACTCAACTCAGCCCAGCTTACTGACCTTTACATCCCTCCTGCTGCTGAGGTTGCTCCTTCCTCGTAGTTCAACTTCACATGTGACCTAACCACAATCTCACAATCTCTCCGCTAGGGGTCGACCGATATGCGTTTTTCAGGATCGATACCGATTATTACAGATCAAGTAGACCGATAACCGATATTTTGAACCTATATATGTCTAGTGTAAAAATTAAAATTAATGTCAAAAATTAAGAATAAAAAGGCCTCAGACAAAGACTCTCTTTAAATTATTTTAACCATATATTTAATTCTGAGAACTGTTAATAATAAGAACATTAATATTAATAATAATAACAACAACATAAAAAGTGCAGGAAGCATCCATTCTGTACAACATTTTGTAAAAATTAAAAGAAGTCAATTTAAACAACAACAAGCAACAAATGAACAAATAATGGAAAATAAATGTAATAGCTCCCTGAAGTTTTATAATGTAAATTAAAATGGGTAACAATTAGTAGTCCCAATCCAGTAGCACCAGGTTGTGGTGCAGGAAGCAGAGCTGCTCGGCATGCTCTCCAGTTAGTTTCCTTCTTCTTTTGTCATAAATTGCAGACACTTCACTGAAGACACGCTCACTAGGGACTGATGAGGGTGGTGAGCAAAGAAATCTTCTTGCTTCTTTGGCAAGTAGCTTGAAGCGCCCTTTATTCTGTCTCCACCACTGGAGTGGATCCCCCTTACGCCGGTCAATCACTGGCTCTTTGAGGTACTGATGCAACTCATCTTCAATGCTGTCCTTGGCTGACACATCACCAGTATGGGGGCCAAGAAGAGAACTGAAGATCTTGTCTATTTGGCTATGGCAGGGTGTCTCTTCTCTCCTTTGCCTTTTAGAGGCTTGGTCTTCTGCAGCAGGCTCCTCTCCATCAGCCTGCTGCTCTTGATTGGCTCTCTCTGTTTCAGCCTGCTCTTGAAGAGCACCTTCTACATCATCTTTAAGCCATGCTTTGGCCTTGTTTAGTGTAGAGGCAGAGGAGAATGCATGACTCTTGAAACGTGGATCCAAAAGACATGCTATAACCACATTTTTTGAGTCTTCAAGTTTGGCGAATCGTTTGATTAGGTTCTCCCTCATTACCTCCCTGAGCGTTCTGATGCCCTGTGTTGATGGCCCTATATCTTCAAGTAGCATCTTGAGCACTGTCACACAGGGAATGATGCTGGACGCAGATGATTCATTGTAGCTCACCTCTAGTGTCACTTCCTTAATGGGGATGAGTGTTTCAACCAAATTGGACACAATGTCCCACTGGTGAGCAGCTGGACATGTAAAACCGCCGTGTTCCCCAGAGTAAATGTTAAGAGCACGCTTTTGTTCCAATGCCCTTTGCAGCATGTGGAGTGTTGAATTCCACCTTGTTGGGACTGCCTGGATTTAAGTTGTGCTCTGGTAGCCCAAGGTCCCTTTGGATGTTTCTCAGACGCTGCTTGGCCAAGATGGAATGTTGGAAGTGAGTGACACATTTCTTTAGCATGGCAATCACATCTATCACAGCTCTTTGGCTGGCCAAACCATCATTCACCACCAGCTGCAACGTATGTGCTGTGCAGCTAAGGTCTGGGATATCGGCGAGTCTCAAACCCTTCACCATGTTTGCGCCATTGTCACGCAGGACCAGAGCTACACGCTCTTTGGTAATTTCCCATTCCTCCAGCATGTGCAGGAATGTGTCTTTGATGTATTCCCCAGTATGGGATCCGTGCATTACTTTTGTATTTAAAACAACCTGCCTTCTGTTCCATTCATTGTCAATGAAATGGCATGTTAGGCTCATCATTGACTCTGTTGATCCTGACCAGCAATCCGTTGTAAAGGAGAGTGAGAATCCAGCCTTCTCTGGCTGGATTAGGGTTTTTATCTTGCTTACGACCCTTTCATAGATTTCTGGCAGCTTCTCAGTGCGGTAATACTTCTCACTTTTTAGTGCATATCGTGGTTCTGCCACATCCATGAGTCGTTTAAAGCCAGCATCAGAGACCATTGTGAATGGTTGGTTGTCAGAAATGATAATTTCTGTGATCAGTTTGTCCATTTGTTTTGATTTGTCATCCAGATTTGTCCATTTTTTTGTTTGTTTTTGAAACATGTCATGTATTGTAGGCTGACATGTGGATGTTGCCCCCTGCTCAGGTTTGTTTGTTTGTTTGTTTGTGCAGATTTATTATACAAGTCATTGTGATGAATCCTAAGATGGGACCACAGGTTTAAAGTATTGGCACTTTTTGCCATTGTACCACCCATACTGACAACATCTTTACATGTATTGCACACTGCCTGCCCTGGTGTTGGTTGAGTGTAGTACTCCCACACTGCACTTCTACATTTTGTCTTCCTTGTATCCATCTACAATGAGGGTAAGATAACGAGAGAGTTAAAAGTGGGGCCACTGTATAGTTTATGATTAAGCCTATGCATACTGTACTACAGCTAAACAGCTTGGGGAAAAGGAACGATTGGCTTCAATAATTTACATGTTAAAAATGTAGGCTGTGTAATAGCTTAACCTCTCATAATTATTTTGTGATGACTAAAACATAGCCTAAAATAATAGAGGTGATTATTCAATTTGCCTAATGCACATCAATGGATTGACAAAAAAAAACACACATATGTATGTGTGTGTATATATATACATATATATATATATATATATATATGTGAAGATTTCAGATGGAAAAGCCTCTAAGTGCCATCTGAAATTTTCTTCCAGGATGATAATTTTTATCAAGCTTGTATATTTAAGTTCAGTAATTTCACTTAAATGACAATGAAAATAACCTATTAATTGTCATTTAAGTGAAATTACTGAACTTAAATATACGAGCTTGATAAAAATTATCATCCTAGAAGAAATTTTCAGATGGCCTTTAGAAGCTTTTGCATCTGAAATCTTCATATATAACACATATATATAATGATTGCAGTCATTTTATATTCTTTATTCATTTTTATCGCAAATCGCATGAAAATCACACACAAATCATATTGTAATTGTATGGTTATTCTCTTTATTTTTGACGTGTAGAAACGTTTGTTTGACTGTTTATCACGGAGATAAAAACTAGGAAGTGGATTGTACAGCTATTCATTGAATGAGAGAGCAGGCAGATCACTGACGCAAATCAGGAATTGGGGAGACAGAGCTCGCGCTAAACGCTCTTCAGATCGCATAATTCAGTTAGAAATTAATAGAAATGGTATTGTGTATGACGAAATATTTTGCAATCATGTGAGAATAAAGTAACATTTCTCCCAATATGCGCAAATTTTGACTGGGAGCCCTAACGGACGCTGTTCAGTGAAGCTATGTGAACACAAAACCGCAGCAGACGTGATCGAGTGAATTCATTCGTGTTGATAATCTATTCACAGTATAACGTTAGGTTGGCCGAATGGGGAGAAGCTAAAATAGGTTTTAGTTAGGCTACACCGACGTGAGGCTCCGTTAAAGCCTTTCACTGCAATGATGGACATTGACCGGGAATTCAATTCACAGTATAACTAGTGGGAACAGGGGTGTTTTTCATCATAAATAGATATTGAGGTGTTTTGCAACTTCAGTGTAGTGATTTAATGCAACTTCAGGAATGTCTACTGCTGCCTTACCTTTGAGAGAAAACTGATGCGTGATGATCACTGAAGCAGCTCCTGTTATCAAGTGCTCTCGGTGTGAGAGCGCAACATTTTCAGTGCCTTCAGCCTTCTGTTGATTGGCCGGACTCGTGACTCCCAACAAATCAGATGGGCGATGGGCGGGCATTAGTAGGCCACAGAGCCGTGCGCTCTGAAAGAGGTGGCTGGATTAAAGCCAGATCGCGCATTTCACAATTAAATAATTTTATCGGCAAATCGGTTTTGAAAATGGCCGATACCGATAACCTTAAAGG